AAACCCTAAACCCTAAACCCTAAACCCTAAACCCTAAACCCTAAACCCTAAACCCTAAACCCTCAACTCACACGTCGCAAGGCGAGCTGCAGCGGCGGCGCGACGGCTGCCTCCGCCGCGTCTGCCGAGGGGCCTTCGTGGCCTGGTCTTCGCACTGTAGAGAGCGGGGAGAGGCGGGGCTCGCGGTTCCGAGGGTTAAGTATCACCTGCTAAGGTGAGTTATTGTGGGTCCTTAAGGTGGTCCTCTTGCCTCCTAAACCCTAAACCCTAAACCCTAAACCCTAAACCCTAAACCCTAAACACTAAACCCTAAACCCTCTTTGAAAGGGTTCTGAAGTAGGGGGCTGTTGGATGACTCTTGGTATCTCTGCCAGCCGTGGCATGCTTGGACTTCGGCCTCCCCGTATATGGACCTAGTTTTTCTAAGGACCTTGAGAAGAACTCTAGTAAACAGAACGAGTACCACTGCAAGTAGTATGACTAGATAAATATATACAAAATGGCTAGAATGAATACTCCTGTTGCGATACAGCTGCTCGGTCGCCAGGCTCGGGCACGCGCAGGACAGCGGCAGAAGCTCTTGCAGAAAGCAGCCGCTCTGCTTCAAGAGACCCTTTGCGTTGCAAGAGTTCTTATCGCAGCTATGACCATAATCATTATCAGCTGCTATAGTTATGACAAGAACACGTATAGCAATGAGTATAAAAACTTGTCACTGCAACGTTTCCGTGATCCTGGCTCTCGGCAGGGCCCCATTTGCATAGCTTCGCCGCAGTCAGTCCGCTGGTGAGCAAACAGTGGCTTTCTTGCGCCCAGGTGACTCTTATGCTGGAGCCTCAGGGTTTAGGGTTTAGTGTTTAGTGTTTAGGGGCATTCAATGTAGTCTAGGGGTCGAACTATCATGGCCCGTTCGATCCGTCCGGAGTTTGGCATGTCGGGTTTGGCGATTGGTGTGCTGGATTAGGGTATAGGCATATTCGGGTTAAGGACAGGGCTCAAAGATTGAGGCGCCTAACCCTAAACCCTCAACCCTAAACCCTAAACCCCCTTATTAGGGTCTTAGGGCATCAGGCTTAGGGTGCCTGCCTGGGCCAGGGAATGTATCAGACCGCCCCACGACGAGGTGGCGCTTGCAAAGGTGCGAAGGGCTTTGCTGACACTCCTGATTGCACCGTGAGAACCGAGAGCCCCAGAACCCCAAACCCCACACCCTCAACCCTCAACCCCACATTCGAATCTCAGCACCCGATTGCGTGGAGTTGCGGTCCTCGTATGATACGGTTTACCCTAAACCCTAAGCTCTAAACCCCAAGCCCTAAACCCTAAACCCTAAACCCTAAACCCTAAACCCTAAACCCTAAACCCTAAACCCTAAACCCTAAACCCTAAACCTTTAGGGTAATATTTTGTTGCGGGGCTCATGGGAAGGCGGGCTGGGACTCCTTTCGGCGCTGCTCGCCGCCGGTTGCGATGGGCGTTCTTTCTGGGAGCCCAG